TTTTTTTTTTTTTTTTCTTTTTTGGTACATTAGATAAGATATTCTCTTGTTTCATTCCACATTCCTTCTAAATTTTCTCCGAAAACCATTATTCTTTTTTGTAGACACCTTAATACCCAAAACTTCTTGCTATCCACCACCCAATCATCTAATCCAAAATGTATTTAGGCAATTCCCATCACCCATCCTTTCAATTTGGTTTTTCTTTTGCGTATCATAAGTGATGGTGGACTATATAAAAACAATAGTGGTTCTTGTTTGTATCAAAACATAGTGGTTGAGAAAAATCATGGAGGCATTTGCTTTTTAAAGCATTTTCTCTACACTTCTTTCTTCAATTGTAAAGGAAGAAAATTATCTTAGTCTGAGGGGAGTCTTGGAGTGGTTGGGGAAGCTTGAAATTAAAGTTGCTATGGGAGGACATAAAGCATCTTTCTATTCTTTGTTCCAAGGTTTGTTGGTCTAAAATTTGCTCTAGATTCTTATCAGTTACAATCAAAGTAAAAGAAGAAAAAGAAGGTGGCAAAGTCTAAAACTTAATTAGTTTATATATTTTCTACATTACATTGCTTTTTATAGAGATTTAAATTGAAGATGCATTTGAAATTGCTTATATGCACTGTATATTAGTGGCTCAGTTAAAATCTTGATTTTTGTTATTTCAATTTATCTAAATAGCTTGGTGCTAGAAAAATTAAAAGAAATTTGCATACATCTCTGCAATTAAAATGTGTTTGTGAGTCAACAATACTTCAATTGCATATGTTATGTATAAAAGGAAATGAAGCAAATAGCCTTAGCTATTTGCATGAATTGATTCATGTTTTGTTTCCTAAAGAGTTCCCCGATTTCTTTCCAACAAAAAGAATAGATAATGCCAAGTGGTAGATGTAATCCAACTTTTGTTTAGGCCACTAGAATCATGCTTGCGTTAAGTCATTGAGTTTTGACCCTTGCCCGTATGTTGCTATCTTGTCCTCCTTGAAATATACACTATAAAATACTATATATAACCATCCACATCCCCAATTATTCAAGAAAAATGGCTTTTATGTGAAAAATCATAATCATAAAATTAATTTACCTTGCAATTTGTGCTCAATCAATATTTATAAGATATAATAAAAAAGAAAGACTTAATGGGACACAAGATTGAGGTGGTAGAATGTGTGGAGAAAAAAAAATTAACAAATGTTTTAACAATGCTTTAACCATTGACGATTATGAAATTAACAGTCTAACTAATGGTTGAAGTAACGCCATTAACAAAAAGATGACATTGAACAAATTAAGTGGAGTAAAGGGATGATGTTTAGTGCTTTTTAAGGAGTAGAGGGACTACAATAAACAAATCCTTAGTGAAGGGACCAACATGGACCAAAATTAAAAGTAGAAAGACAACAATTGGCTTTAACCCACTGTCACAAAGGTCACTAA